GCGCTGCAGGGGGTTATTGTGGCCAAAGTGGTAGGACCCTCCACTTGGTCTTGCTGAACTTGATACCATTCATTTCATGTGAAAAGTAATCTCAGTAGTATTGCTTCATGAAAAATGTAACCTCCAATGCTGACAAGACAATAAAAGGGATGAATATCAGCATTCTGCTGAAGTGAAAAAAATCAGACTCAGAGATAGTGATTTGATTTAGAATCCTATAAAGCTGGAAGATTTTATTAAAGCTAATGAGGTAGATTAAATCTGGATGAATGAACCAATGATTATTTAAATTGTATTTCAGTCTTATAAGAGACTGTCTTATGTTTGAAGGCTTCTTGATAATAATTTCATATAAGTTCATGCTTCAAATGCTCATTTTTGGATGACTTTGTATTTTGGGGAAAGATTTTCCTGTGAAATCCAATCAGTTATTTGGGTCCTTTCCAGTTATTTAAACCTTTCAGACTTCTAGCAAAAGCATTCGTCTATTGGATATTAGGGTAGACAATATTGGTCATAGGTGACCAAAAATCATAAGTTTGATGTTACATAAAGATAGGCAAAAGCAACAGTGATAATTATTGATGCACTCACATGCTGAATGTCAGCAATGTTTACCTCAGTTTACATATCTGAGAAGGCAGTCTGTTTTCCCAAATCCTTCCAGTGAAAGAGAGCATTTTTAATACAAAATACATATGTAGTAAAAAAAGTTGAAGCATCTGATTTGTGCATACTTTAAACATGTTTAAAATTAATTTATTTTTTAAAGAGCTTGATCATTTAAAAAAAAAAGGTCCTGTGCAGCATAGGTATTTGTTACTCCTTGTCTTAACGTTTTACTTAATATTTGGTCCATGTTTAAAGTTAATTTATTTTTTAAAGAGCTTGATCATTTTAAAAAAAAGGTCCTGTGCAGCATAGGTATTTGTTACTCCTTGTCTTAACGTTTTACTTAATATTTGGTCCAGCAGAGTTATAAAGAAAATGTTAATTGAAAGATGTCTCTGAAGATACTGGAAGATAAGTTACTAAAATGTGTTCCAATCAAAATTTAATGGGAATGTAATTAAACATGAGAGTTATTAATTGTTCAGTGGGTTATAACACAATGTGAAGAGTGTAGGAACTGGGAACAATCTAGGTAGCAATTGCTACTACATCTCTGTCAGTTCTTTATAGGTGCAGCCTATATGAGTCTTTATTCTTGCACATCAAGTATTTAACTTTGTTTATGACTTTGAGATGAACATGTAGAATTTATGTCATATGTTGTGTTTTTCTAGATGCCAGATGACTTACCAGAATCAATTCTCTCCTATTTAAACTTCATAAAGAGCAGAAATCAAGATGCTGAAAAGCTTATACTGCAAGACTTAGAAGATGAAGAAACTACAAGTAAGCAGGGATCACGGTTAAAATATTTATGCACCTCATCATGCCTGTGGAAGTCAGTCTAACAATCATCAGTAAATCAACGCAAATTTTTAAGTAGAGCAAGCAGTGAAACCTATTGCATCAGCTTCTGAATGCGCACTGAAAATCTCTAGGGATAAAACCGCACATAAAACCATGCAATGCTGTCTTCTAGGATTAACATATCAGTATGCATTGAATTTTACTAAAAATTCATCTGATATTAAACCATAGATCAAGGCAAGTTGCAGGATCATTCTCTAAAATAGTACCTGAGCCTGAAGACTATGCATGAGAATCAAAGATGAAGTCACTAGGAGCTAAAGAGTTCAGATACAATTGAACAGATACAATTGATAGGTTTAAAGCCTGTTTTTAGAGATATTCAAGCTAGCATTTAATGACCTTGTTATTGGGAATAATATTGCGGTGTCAGCTGAGTGAAGCTGAAGCCAAGCTCATAGTTTATATGCCAGAGAGCTGGCATTGTCTGTAATATTCTATTTTTTTGCACGGTCTTGGATGTCACACACATTTAGCATAGTCATCTTTGTGAACAAAAGTTCCATATTGTCTGTACATTTGATATTTGAGGAAGGTTTCTTTTTATCTTTTTGTTTTTGTAATGGACACTTACTCTTTTTCATTATTTCTGTAGTTTGTCAGTTTTTCACGTATCTGATACAAGTTCTGCTGTATTTTTCTACACAGAAAATGTTCTACTGATTCTGTGTTGTGGAATTCTTTCATGTTTGCTAAGACTAGATTTTTACACTATCGTAGTGTGTGTTCCTGTTACGTGTATTTGCTGCTTTTGTTGTAGATCAATGAATCTCATATATATTTCAGAAAAATTCCGGGCAATGTTAAAAGAAAAAAATATTTTATTTTAGTTTAAAGAAATATAATAGCTAAGCAGTATAGAGCAGAACTAGTAAGGATTTTTCTCTCTGCATACTAAATTATATATTTATTTCTTCTTTAGGTAATATTTGTGGAGTAGTTTCTTGTCATGCTTCGGATTACTTGGCAGAATTAGCCTCTGAATGTAATGAAGATCCAGAACAATTTAAACAAAGGGTATTCTCTATTTAAAGATTATTTGTAGTGAACAAAATTCTGTTAAAGAATCTAGATAACTTACACTTGTTTTAGTGGCCACCTAAGGACACCTATAAATGTGTTTTGTTTCTACCAGATGATCCATAAGGTATTAAAGAAGAGTATGTATATGTAGTTCTTTAGAACTGAGACATCAGCTGTTTGACACCATGTCTATTAGTTTAAAATTTGAAATAGATTCGCTGTATCAGTAGTTGAGATGCTGAGCACAAAAGTCAACAAAATTGAATAGTCCTTTGTGGTTAATAATTTTCAGAATGTTATCTTAATAGTATGATAAGACTTTTAAAGTTTTCTAATCTTACTCTTTTTATGATGATCAGGAGGATGTTCTACTATTAATCTTACTCCCAACATATTCCAATAATTTATGGAAAATATAAACCTAATAATGTCCATAACTTTCAAAGACATATCATGAGTTATGAGTCTGGATTCTTCTATATTTTCATAGGGCTTGACTGAATAATTTGCTGAAGTTCTTAGAAAAACATAAAACTGTATTTAATTTAATCACTTTTAATTTGGGTCCTGGCTTTTATTAGTAAGCGCTTGTAGTCACATGATTTTTTTTTGTTCAGAACATTTTTGTTCAGAACCATTGTTTACAACAGAACAATCACTTTATGTATAGACTTCAGTTGCAGTACAAATATTAATATATGCCCCAAGCATGTGATGAACAGATGATAAACAAGCAGGAATAGATTACTTCTTGCCAATAAAGAACAATAGAAGAAATATAGCAGTCTTCATGCCCATAGCATTATTTTCAAGTAGACTTCTTAAAAATTTACTCAGTAACTAGTTCTTCCCCTATGCACATACAGTACTAATGCATAGGCTGTTTGGCACCACAGAAAGTAAAACAAATCCCAAATGCAAAATGTAAAAATGCAAAATTTAAAATATATTTTAAAAACACTTAGAGTATTTTGCAAAATATGTAATATTTCTAGTATTTATTACTCTAGAAAACAAACCTTTGACTGATACATTTGCATTATTCAGTGTCTAAGGATTCCAGTCAGTAATAAGTTTCATATTGTTGTGCATGTCATATGATGAAAAGCCTATACTTGCTCTGGAGTGTTTTTATAATGTTCTGGTTTTGTTGAGGTTTTTTTTTGTGTCTTAATGACAATATTAAACTATGTTAGGTACTAACTGAAATTGAAAATGAAGACTTGCAGATTGCTACAACACCTGGTTATAATAGTCAGTCCACCAGTGACGAAGTGGCCACTGATGACTATTTTGTTACAGGTGAGCAAATGCATTAGTCATTTGACTGAGTTAATCTTTAGTGTCAAATCACTATTTCCTGCTTCGCTGTTTTCAGGAGTATCATAACATTCTTTATAAAGAATTATTCATTACAGTATGCCATAGATTTTGATACTTAATGGCTTGGACATGAGCATATGCTCTCATTTCATTCCAGGATCACAAAATTATCCTAGTCTATAATGTCTTGGTAGAAATTTGTTTCAAGAAATAGGGCCCAAAAAATGATTTAAATAATTATGAATACAAATGAAGGTACTAAACAGGTTGTGCTTTGGGCACAACTTCTTTTACTTTTTTATAGTCACTTTGGTGGGGAACGTTGCCCTTTGCCATGACCTTTGCGTGTTTTAGGGTGGAGTGCATTAGTTATAAAACCCTAGCTACAGACATTCATCCTGAAGCCAATGTGTAATCCTGAAGTGTACATTGGTAGAAATAAGCATGATTGTAACAGAGTCATGATAATAAGACATCTCTGGTAGAAAAGACTTGCCTTGTAGTTCTGATTTCCTTGGGGATGTATACTGCTGGCTTAATCAACACAGAATCCTTTTCTCTGCAGTACTTTAAGATTGTTTAATGTCCCCCAATGCTAATTAGAAAATTAAATAAAAGGTTTGCTTTTCTAATTACAAATTCATAGCTGATGCTGAAATGAGCATAAGCCTTACTCATCGTGAAGTAGAAAAAAAAAGTCGACAAGGATTTGAGCAGTGGGAGAAAAGACAAGAGGAGCTTGAAGAGGAGAAGAGAAAAAAGTGGAGGACTGAGGAGGAAGCACAAGAGAAACAGAATGAAGAGGAACATGCAAGAAGGGTGCAGCATCTGGAGGAATTTGAGGCTGAAAGAATAAAGTTAGAGCTTCTTCATAAGGTAATTAATGATACTGAAGCCAGTCTGTTTCCATCTAGACTATCTGAATTCAAGATCTAATGTGAAAGAGAGAGTACTATCCCAAACTATATGACTGTCTACTTGTGATATGAAAGGGAGATGTAAGACATATTTAAGTACAATCCACTGGGGTTTATATATTTACTTCTTTGATCTTCTGTCCCTGCTTATTGCAGGGGAGTTGGACTAGATGACCTTTAAATTCCCTTCCAACCCAACGCATCCTGTGATTTTATGATCAACGGTGAATGAATTTGATATGCTAAATATTAAATTATCCCTCAGGCTTTTCTCTTACTAAATTTATATATTACGACACTAGCAAATGTACTAGAAATGAGAGTTGTGCTAAATTACTCACAATGAGAGTAATTTAGAGAAATGATTACTGTGCCTTAATAGAAAATACTTGCTTACTTTGGATCTTCCACCTCAATTTCACATTTAGTTGAAAAATTACATCTGAAGCAAACTGGACCAAAATCATTTGATTCAGGAATTCTGGTGCTGTGCTTTTTCTAGATAAAAGATAAAATACTCCTTTTTGTGTGTGTGTGTCTGTATCTGGGAAGCAGAGTCAAGCTTCATCTACGGAATTCTGCCAGAACAGAACATGACTCCACATGTCGAGGGTTGCGTTCTCAGAGTACCTAGTAATGTTTTGCTGTACTGTGTGGTACATACTGAAGGATAAAATTTGATAGCTCTCCACAAAAGAGCATAAAAGCCCTGAAGAGATGTAACCTTCAGACATTATACATGTGGGACCACAGTATTTTATTATTTAGACAAAATATTTGTGTTTTGAGAAATGCATTAACTCTGCTCTTTCAGTTAACTAGTTTGTAGCTTTCTGAAGAGGTAAGCATCTTGGTACCAACAATGCAATTCAAGTCAACAAAATTAAGGAAGGAATTGGTAAGCGAAAAAACACTTTATCTCTGAAGGCCATTTCAGTGTCTGATATAGGTCCTTTTTCAACAGGCCACAAAATTAGTCTTCCTGTGCTCTTTGACATCATGAATCATTTTTGGGTGTAGAATGGCTTGCTTTCTCTAGACAACGTGAGGCCTGTCCCCATTTAGACGCTGTGTAAGACACAGGGTCCTACACTTTGGCCACAATAAACCCCTGCAGCGCTACAGACTAGGGGAGGAGTGGCTGAAGAGCAGCCTGGCAGAGAGGGACCTGGGAGTACTTGTTGACAACCAGTTGAACATGAGCCAGCAGCATGTCCAGGTGGCCTGGAAGGCCAGTGGCATCCTGGCTTGTATCAGGAACAGTGTGGCCAGCAGGAGCAGGGATGTAATTCTGCCCCTGTGCTCAGCACGAGTGAGGCCTCACCTCGAACTCTGTGTGCAGGGCTGGGCCCCTCACTGCAAGAAAGACACTGAGGTGCTGGAGCGGGTCCAGAGGAGAGCAACGAGGCTGGGGAAGGGACTGGAGGGAAAGTGCTGTGAGGAGAGGCTGAGGGAGCTGGGGCTGTTCAGCCTGGAGAAGAGGAGACTCAGGGGGGACCTTATCACTCTCTACAACTCCCTGCAGGAATGGTGCAGTCAGGTGGGGTCGAGCTCTTCTCCCAGGCAACCAGTGACAGGACAAGAAGGCACAGCCTGAAACTGCTTCAGGGGAGGTTTAGGTTGGATCTCAGGAAGCACTTCCTCATGGAGAGGGTGCTCAGGCACTGGGGTGCACTGCCCAGTGAAGTGGTGGAGTCACCGTCCCTGGAGGTGTTTAAGGAGAGACTGGATGTGGCACTTAGTGCCCTGGTGTGGTGGTGTTGGTTCATAGGCTGGACTTGATGATCTCAGAGGTCTTTGCCAGCCTCAATAATTCTTTGATTTCTCTGGTGGTTGAGTGGTGGAATTGGCATTGCTATGTAACAGTTGGACGTGATGATCTTAAACATCTTTTCCTACCTACATGATTCTGTGATTCTGTGATCTTTCAGTGCATGACCAAATCTGCAGTTGCTTATTTTGATCTTCACACAGCTGAGTTTTTCATTTTAATTCAGGCATTTGCAAAAGTGGACCATTGGAAGGTCAGGAATGTGGGGGAGATTGGAAAGTGGGTGGTTTATGATGTTTGAAGTTTTTCACAATATTCATTAAGTTAATTTGTTGTACAGAAACACCAAACTGCAATAGAAGATGAGTTAAGGAAAGAAAAGAAAGCTTGGAGAGACAAAATAACGCAACATGAGGTAAGGTTGTACAATGAGCTTTTATCAAAAGACTTACATTACTATCATGTATTTGAGAATAAATGTTATTTTGGGACAGTTAATAAACCAGATTCTGTTTATTAATGATAAATATGTTCCAACACCTGTCCTATTTTAAATATGGTTGAAGTCTAACCTAATTGTTTTGGCCTAGGAATTGATCATGAAGCTGCAGTTGCAAATGGAAGAGGAGAAAAATGCCTTGGAAGACCAGAAAGCAAAAGAAAGACAACGCCTGGCAGAACAAGAGAATTCAGCAGCTGTGAAAATCCAAGCTAGATGTAGATCATTTTTAGTCCGTAAAAAATATGCTCCGATCTTGAAAGAATGGAAAGATGAAATAAAAAAGAAGCAGAAAATACTAGAAGAAATAGAGAGAGAAATGAAAGAAAAAGAGGAAAAATTGAAGAGGCAAATGGAAGAAAATAGGCAAAAGAAAGAACAGGAAAAAAAGAGAAAACAGGAAATTGAAAGACAGGAATATTTGGAACAGGTGAGGAGGTGTGAGGAATATGAGAGAAAGAAAGAAAGCCTGAGGCTTGAAAGAGAAAAACAACTGCAAATACAAAGAGAAAAACAGAGAAAACTAGGAGAAAAAAGAGTAAAAGCTACGACGAATGAAAGTGGAGAAAGAAACAAAGAAAACATAATAAAGGCTAAGCAGATAGAAAATACAAAAGTAATAAGAGAACAGAAGAATGAGCTAAAAGAAAAGCAGACTGAAATGATGGATGGAACAAGTAATTGGATGATTCCAGCAGAAAGAAATTTGACACCAAATATGCTAAGCTTTGAGAAGAAAGAACACTCTTCTCAAGTAAATGATGAGAACATATACATAAATTCAGTAACATATGTAGAAGAAAATTACTCACAAACTAGAGATCCTAATAAAGCTCCAAATAGTCCTATTTCAAAGGATGAGTCTGTTAATTGTGGAGCTAATGACATGGTAGAAAATAAGGCTTACAATATATGCAGCATTCCACCAAATATCCAGCCAAATGCTTGTAGTAGAGAAGTCAAAGATCCATTTTCTCAGTCAAAAACAATGGAGGAAACTGTGTTTCTAATGGAAGATGCTAATGAGGAAGTCAGAGAGCCCAGGGACAGGATTCAAGATGTAGCCGAGTGTTCCAGTAGAGTAACTCTTCCTGATGACATTGAAAAGAAGAGAATAAACTGGATGAACACATGTAAATCTTGGTCTAAAATATGTGAAGAAAACCAAAGAAATCAAGCAACTATACAAAAACGACCAAGGAGAAGTTCAGTTAGCAAGATGCCTCCATTAAGCACACAAAAGATAATTCATAGTGGCCCTTGGAGTACTTTGCAGCAGGTAACTCTACAGAAGATTTAGAATGAACTGGGAAGCCATACCAACACTTTTTCCTTTTTCTTTTCTTTCTTTTTTGTAATTTGGTATGTCAACAGAATGCTGTTTTGGAAGAGGAGGAAATTATCATTAAGCAGGATATAGCTGTCAGGGAGAGCTGCACAAGTGCAGATTAAGGGCAAGGAGAATGACTTTTGAATTCCTTTGAGTGTTGTGGAGCAGACTGGTGTGATAGTAGTCTTCAGATGATTGTTAGTATCTGAATCCTGTAAAAGGCAAGAGCTCCCAGCTCCTATTTTCTGCTAAATTAATGTGCTTTTGCCTTTATATGAGGGATCGCATTTCAGCTCCTGCTCATCTAGCCCATTCAAGGTTTTGAGAAGACGAGTATCTTCCAAAGCAAGACGTTGCTGTTCATCTATAGATAGTGTTTTGCCTTAAAGAACATTTCTTTGTTCCCAGCATTAACTTTTCTTACCAGTTACTAACTTTCCACTGTATGGCTGCTCTGTGTCTAATCTTGGTATCCACTCTGAGATGACAGGCTTGACTAAATACACTTTTAGCCTGAACTATTTTTGTCTCTTACTGTGTACTCACTTGTTATTTATGATAGTGTGATGGGAAACAATTAACAATGTTGATTGCTTTGCTTAGTGTTAGTCTTGCATCCATTCAAATTCAGTGTCATTCGCCAAGTATAGGTTTTATTTATTTCAAGGTGTATGTTAAAATCAAGTTGTTTTTATGAAAAATTCTCCTGTTTAACAGATCAAACTGATCATTGCCATCCTTTTCGATATGAAAGAATTAACATTAGTAGCTTACATTTTCTTGTTAGTAGGATGTAGTTTTAGTCTCCTTCTCTTTTTAAAGAAAACAACCATAATGTGACATTGTACCATGAATGTTCAATATATAATCAATTTCATTTATCAATAAATGCATGTAGGTCACAACACTTACACTTGAAGATTTGCCAGCTTGTAGCCTCTCGACGTTATCTGAGTGTTCAAGTCTTCAACTTTTGACTCTGAGGCGCTGTGGACTAGTTGCACTGGAAGGACTAAAGAGCTGCAAAGACCTAAAGTATATCAATGTAGAGGTACCAAGCATATTTGATTCTTTATTATATGCTAGAGAGAACTGCCAGTTTTTCTGCTTAAGTGATTATGCAGTTGCATCCAACTGATTTTCTAACTTTTACTGCCTTAAAAGCACAGGAGTATCAGCAAAAGACTCCCAAATGTGAACAAAGTTGTACCAGCAGATTTGGATTGCATGTACCAATTTGCATTGTACTAAAGCAACCTCCTGCAAATGAATCAAGCTGTTCTGTAAAAAGTGCATGATAGTACCTGTCTAGGATTAGCACTGGTAGGGCGCGAGGATCGATTATCGTTTCCTCAGTCTCTCCAATTCGTGAGTGGGGTGATGCAGTTCAACATAGCACATACTCAGCTTAAGAGTAGGTAGAAGGGAAAGTCCTTTGCAATACACACCTTGAATATTAGTTTAAATTCACATATATGCTCAGGGAGCAGTATAGTGAGTTAGATTAGATGCGTAGTGTCTAGGTGCTTGCTACTGCACAGTGTCTTACATGGCATTGTATTTTTAATGACTTAAAAAAATGTTTTGCTCTTTGATGCATCTTAGTTCCGGAACTTGAAAATTTACGTGAAATAACTCTGTTCACATTTTTAATTTCATGTGTTTTAACAACACCAATTCACAAGAAAGCTATTAAAATGCTTGTACTATTCATAGAAATCTTGAATGTTTCCACTTGCCCAGTAATTGATGTTCTTTCCAAAGTATGAGCCTTTTGTTGATTTCAGATTTTTTAATAAAATTTGGAGAAGGGAGCTAATAATAATTATAATTAAAGGAGTGTTGTATATCTAGTAGTTAGAGCTTTGCAATAGGGCAGGTTGAAATACTGTTTCCTGTGTGCTTTTCTCAGTTTTCTTATCTAGTCAGAACATAATATCTGGGATTTTATAATTTAGAACACCTCAAAATAAAAGCCCAAAATATTAGTATAAGGGTATAATATATGTCTACCCTGCCAGTCTTACTAAGACTAGTTTTTATATGTGAATTTTTTTAGATCAAATATTGCATTTTACAGAACAGTTTTGGTTTTGTGGCTTGGGTTTTGTTAATTATTTTGAAATGTTATGCTTTAAATAATATACAGGCTTGCCTCACTCTGGGATATGTCAGGATAATTTAATTAAGGAGAAAACTCTTACATACATGTTTAAGTATGCTTTATTGATAATTTAATAATTATATATATTTTTAATAACAATACTTCATACTTCTGCTGTGCCAGCTAATGTGGCAGTTGTCTTCCATTCAAACTTAGTGAAGAAACGCCCTGTTTTGCGACTGTTGAAACAGTCCAAGATTGTTTCCTGGGTATTTTTCATGTAGCTAAAGCAGCTGCCTCTCTTTCCCCTGGACATTAATTTCTACTTGACATTGCCCCTCATTTCTGTTGATAAAAAAGCTGACACAATTAAGCCATGTCAGTTCTCTGCTTTAACTTACTGGTGCAACCGAAGGGGCTTTCCAAGGGCAGGAGTCAGGGTTATGGCTTCTAGTGGAAACTTGTACGTGTCTCTGCCTGCAGCTGAGGGTAGCACCTAAATCTAGTCAGCATGTTAATTTTGGATAGGAATTAAACTCTCTGGTTTAATTAGTTTGGTCCAAAAGCAGGGCATTTAAGTTTTGTTTGTTTGAGTGCCTGCAGGTGAAAAACAGAAGAAAACAGCAAGGGCAGCAAATAGTGAAATAAAAATCCAAGGAAGCATTATTATAATAGCCTGGGAGGGGGGATGTTAAAAGAGCAAGATCTCTTGGGAAAAGAACACTAGTTGAGAACGGTGTTATTGATTGTGACCAAAATATATTTAAATGCAGATTTCTACTATTAGTAAATAAGGTTCTAGCAAAGTCATAGCTGTCTTCCTCAGTGTCTAGTAAATAAGATGTTCTCTATGCAGTTTTTAGTTCAGTCTCTCAGGATTTGGGAAGCTAGGAAAGCATATATGGAAAAACACACTTGGTCCTTAACTTCTTACAATTTTTCTTTCAGCTTCTGGGCACTTTCAGAGCCAGAATGAAGTTCAAGATACTCTGTTCTATTTGAGCAGGATATAAAAGGCAGTTTCTATGACTCATCAATTAATTTTCCTAATGGAAAAAGTAGAGATGCTCTTACTCCTAGCTAGAAGCTTAGCATAAAAATAAACTGTGACAGCCTACATATTTTTGCACTTAATTCTGCTATTTCACTTCAGATCATAGAATTGTAGAACGTTAGGTGTTGGAAGGGACCTCTAGAGATCACCTAGTCCAACCCCCCTGCCAGAGCAGGATCCCCTAGGGCAGCCACACAGGAATGCGTCCAGGCGGGTTTTGAAAGTCTCCAGAGAAGGAGACTCCATGACCTCTCTGGGAAGATGATATTTAATATTCTAATTTTCCTTTATTGTAGGAAAACAACATTCAGATAATTGACTGTGAAAATCTGGAAAATCTCCGTATTCTGATTCTGAATAAGAATAATCTTTCATCAGTTTGTGGCTTAGATGGCTGCATAAATCTCCAAGATCTTGAACTTTCCTACAACAGAATCTCTCAAATTGGTAAGAAAATAAATGAAAAATTATTCTATTTTGTATAACATTATTTGTGCTGTTTATACTGAGAATTAGACTTCCCTTGTATTCAGGACCAGCCGGCTGCTAAAACCAAGGAGAAGGAGGAAACACACTTAGAACAGATCTGCATTTTAAAGCATACTGACCTTCACATCTATTTGCAGTATGACGTAGCTCATCCTATGTATTCCATTTACCAGCTCTTATACATATTGTCAGTCAAAAGGAACTAAAAATCTTTCTAGAAGGATCCCTGATATTATCTGTACTAACTCAGCTGGAATATGTGGGTAGCTTGAGTTTGGTTCATCTACAGAAAAAATAAACATAAAGCCTAGCCTTGCAACTGCAGAGAATTCCAGTGTGATCCTGACTGCCACAGTAAGTAGTTACACAGAAATTGTATTATCTGTATGAGCCTGAGACGCATGCTAACACTGGCCCATAGCCTCTCTTTCTGCTAAAATGTTGCTGACATTTCAGGTCCAAGCTATTGTTCTCTATTTCCCTCCCACTCTGGCTCCTCACTGCTGCTTATTGCCCCAAAGCTGGAAAAGAGAATGACTCTGTGGTAAAATGGTGCAAATCATTTAGGCACAGTATTATATTGCACAATAGTATTATATTACACAGTAGATACCGCTGTTAAATTTTATGTACGAAGGTAGTTTGTTGTATTTGTCAGGTCCAACAGTTGGCAGGCAACACGTGCCTTTAGCATGCAGTCAACCGTTGTAGTTTATGTGCACCCAGAATACTTAACAGATGCATAAATACAGGAAATCCTTCTACCAGCAGATTGATGTTTTCTCTTGACCTGCCTGGAGTTTTTTAGGTAGTGAATGAGTGTTTACACCTCTGCTGGTACTGCCACTTGGACTGTAAAATGCCTAAGAGGTAGATACTGTGTCCCAGCTTCTGGCAAGCTGAAAAAATTTCATTGTGAGCCTTGTGTTAATGTAGATTTGGTATAGATGTAATCAGGATCCAGACCCTTTTTTGCTGACAAAAGGTCAGAGAAGTGTAGTACAGTGAAATCAACCAAGATTTTTGCTGACTGTAGGTGAAGAACCTACTTTTTTGGTTTTAGAATGATGTACAGAAGGAAGACATCAGTGGTCCCTGAAAAGCAGCATTAGCAGTTGAAAAAAAGTAGCAGTAAATTGCCAGGTTATTCCTTGAAAGGGAGCTCTCAGGCTTGAGTAGCGCATTTTCTTGTAGCACAGCTCAGATAGAACAGAACTAGATTTAGCAAGCCTCCCTGTACTCTAGTGACGTGGGTTTTGGTGCATGACGTACTGTGAAATCTGGAAAGGCCACCAAAATATGGGTGACTCTATAACTCAGTATTACAGTCTTAACAGAGGTGAATCTGCCCACTGAAATAAAATCTTAGGTAAAGAAAGCAAATTGCATGTGATGAAGAAGTCGGTTTTGTATAAATTGAAACATGAAACCTGAAAAAGTGACTTTCTAGCTGTATTCTTAGTCTGTGCTAGATCTGAAAGTGTTGCTTGGAAAGACTGCAAACCTGGGAATGGAAAGGAGATCGGGCAATTTTGATTTTCTTTTTATTTGTCTTCATTTAAACTTAATTTTCTTTAAAGTATGTGGACATAGTGCTGGACAACAGGAAAATAACGAAAAGCAATTAAACTGATAGGTTAAATACATTCTTATCAGACATTTGTATAAAGAAATATTTTCCACTGTTAAAAAAGAAAAAGAGGAGACTGAAACAGTATGACATAGATAATGCAATTCTGTGATAAATTACAAGGAAGTAAAAAAATACAATCTGTAGATTTAGGGGGTTTAATGTTGATATTAAAAATATTTTTGCTCGTATGTGTAAATTTGGAGTATTAGTGTTTGTGAACGGAGTTTGTAATACCTGATTATTAAGATGCTGGAACATCAATGTTTACTGTAAAATCATATCAGTACCCCAATGAGAAACAATAACATAAACTGGTTAAGGAATCTTCATCTAGACTCCTTTGGCCAATAATTATGAATAAGATTCTTATTCAGACTTAACTTATTTGATAAAAATGTCTTCAAGATCGCTGTATATATGACACAGTATTAGTGGATGATATTTAGGAATGTGGCATCTGTGTGGTGTCTTTGTACAGGGTAAGTGAAGCAAAATCCCCTTGTACTTTGTTTTGTGTGGTGTGCTGCTATGTTTACTGAGTGAATTTGAGTGAGCTAACATTCACAAAAACCCGCCTGGAATCTTTCTCCTCTCCAGAACTGCATTGAAGATGTCTGGTTAAAACAGATACATAATACAGATTTCATTTCATAGAGTAACATGTTGGTTGTAGGTAGTCACACAGAATACACAAAAATGGATTCCAGGTTTTAAGTTAAAGTATCCCTCCCATCTGTAAATCTCACAGGGTGTCCCGTAGCAATTTTGGAAGCTGGAGTACCTTGCGGTATTCTCTGTTCATTCAGCTTTACCAAAGGCTGTGGGCTTTTTCCACAGAAGTAAGGCTTATTTCTGTCTGTAATATTTTGGTTGTAATAATTTATTTTAGGAAATTTCAAGCATACTATGATTTCTTTTTGATTTTTTTTCTCGTCTCACTGAAATACAGTAGTGGAAAAATTAAAGTTGCCAGAAAACCCTAAAAAAATAACAATTGATGTATGAGAAATACATCTAGAGTGCTTTTCCACTTAAGAGTGCAAGTTCACAAATGAATTCTATCATTAATACACTGAAGTTCAGTGCATATGTTTGTATTTGGAAGATGAAATACTTTACTTAAGAATTTTCTTACACAAAAATTAATATTTTGACTTGAGACACAGAATACACTTCTGTATGGTGTCTATATTGCCATAGTACATTGGCTAAAATCCTGGCAGTGCTAAGAGGAGCAGTGCATAACCATGGGTAGTCATAAATGTGTCTTTGGACCAGCTCTTTTTAAGAAAGCATGTAGACAAAACCACAAAGACGCCTTTCCGTTTTGGGGGAGGGTTTGTATGTGTTTTTTTTCAACTTCATGTTCCCTGTAAGCTTTCACTGCTCACTTACTCATCTTTGAGTTACTTCAGAACTACAATAACTAAGGTAGAGTTCCAAGGTCACAGAGTCCAGCTGCGCTATATGCTGAAACTATATGTTTTTCAACAAAATGCATTTTCTCTTATACTGCTTTGCTTTAGCTGTTGTTGGATGCATCATCTGTAAAACAGACAACATCTTTGTGAAATGTGTGGATGGCTTCCGTATTTTTAATTTTGCATGCCTGCAGAAGAACCATTAAAATACCATCCGTTTGTGTTACATTACTCTTTCTTGTGTATGTTTCTGTTGGAGTGCATTTAATAGCTCCTGAATAGATTGTGATCCCATTGTATGTAGCCCTGGTGTGTCTGTTCTGAGTAACATTCGGTCTAATTAAACAAGACAGATGAGGAGAAGCGAGATGTTAAAAAGGTGCTTGTGCAGCATGCAGAAGTTTCCAGATCCTGCATTAACTCCATGCCTTTTCTTACCAAGTGTGCCGTCTGTCCTCTCTGTCCCGCTCCAGACCAATTCAGCGCTTTTAAAGTTTCCAGGACTGCTATGCTGATAGCTTAAAAAGTGGAGATTTAAGGACTTGCCCTTGTGAGGAAGAGATAACACTGAAACGAAGTCTTTTGAAACCACTAGATGGTGCTGATTCCTTTTTTATTTTTATCCAAGCGTTTTAAAAAAAAAAAAAAGCAAGCTGGGATCTTTCAGTCTGGGTAGTATGTCATGGGCATGTTTAAAATTCTTTCAGGATAGTTAAAGGTTTGTATACTTCTCTCCTAAAGTGCAGTCTTGGAGTCACAGTATGGGATAGGACATTTATTTTAAATTTAGTATGATATCTTTTCAATACCAGGTGATTGTGTTATTTCCACTAGGTGCTCTCCATTTTTACATTACTATGATTTGAAGGCCTATATTTGATTTGGGGTTTTTTTAAACGTACTGCTAGTTTTGGCATTTAATTTTTTACTTTGTTTTCTCGTTATCGTTTGTTCTATTTTTTTAGTTCCTCTTCTGTCTTCTCAATAGTCTGTGGTTCTTGTCTCATAATTCAGTTTATTCTCAAAGGACAATCATAAAGACATTCACTTCTATAAAGCTCACCTAGCTGCCTTTTGGGAACTTGGGCATTTTGGGGTGAGATAAAGATGAAAGAAAGTGTTACCTCAAGTAACCCTGTGAAGAATACGTGACAGAAAAGTACATTCAGTAATTTCTCTCTTTTTTGATACATTTTGTAAAGGGTATCCCTTCAAAGGAGTTTTGTGGCAGAGATAGAGAAAAACTAATTGGACCTGTAGCAAGTCAGACACCTCAGTGCCACTGCAGAATATCTAGAATTTGTAAGCCCATGGAAAGACAGTGTGCTTTTTGCTGCTGCAAGAGAAAGATTTGAGAAAAAAAATCTGTGAAAGATGCTGACAGAAACGTTTTTCTTTGCATCAATTTGGATTAGAGATCACACATGTTCGTGTTCTATACACTAGCTGGCAGGAGTAAGTTTGTTGAGAGTGTAGTGACTGTGGAAGGGTAGCTTTATACTTAAAGATACTAATTTTTCTTTATAAGTTTCTGCATTAAACTTATTTTATGACATAATTCCTTGAATGAGATGTACTTAAATAACAGAGATGGTATTTGTCTGGGTTTTAACACAGTTCGTTTTCACCTTGCCGATAACTTAAAAAAACTTAAATAATGAAAATAAACTTTAAAGATAAATACTATTTCCATTTTTAGGGATGATTTTCAGAGAGCTGTTAACATTTCACAGAGCAAGTAGGTTCTAAGTAGCAGTTATAAAGTGCTTAAAGTTAAGTGCAGTTTATCACTGAAAGAATGTTCTCTTCCGACAGAAGTGCTAAAGGGGTTGTGAAATGTTATTATTGCCTGGTTAACAGGATCAGACATTTATGAACGGTATGCATTGCATGTTTGGTAGGGTCAAAATACAGTAGTTATTTTTAAAACTCCTGCAAGACTAATATTAATTGTTAAAATATAAATAAAATATAAACATGTTGAAAGTTTGGAGTTTCTTAGTACTTGAAACCCAACAAGTTTTTACTTCATTATGGCTTAATTCAGCTAAAATCTGTATTTTTTCAGATGGCCTGGAATCACTGAAAAATCTTCAGCAACTGATTGTGGACCATAATCAGTTAATCAACACAAAAGGCCTTTGTGAGGCACCTACTCTCATTCACCTAGACTGCTCTTTTAATTATCTCACACAAGTTGAAGGCATTGAGAATTGTGGCCTACTTCAGATTCTGAAGTTGCAAGGCAATAACCTTCAGGAGGTAAAAGCTTTGATTTCAGGGCTGTTGGGCACACACGTTTGTTAACAGTCATATTTTTCAGAATGCTGATCATGTGCTCTTCGTTTTCCGTGGGATGTTGCATGCTCTTAGGTAGGCTTTTTTCCTCCCTGTTAAAAGGAGAAAAGATACAAATGGCTAGCAGTTAAGTATCTTCTTGCTCCTAAGTCCTTGAAATATTGGCCCCTCGGTAATTACATTTCCCTCCTTTGTTTGTAGCATCTAGTCTTCAGCTTGTATTATATGATGTTGATTGTTTGTTTAAAATGTAACAAAATGTTATTATTACTATTATGTGTAAGTAATAGTTCAGGCTGATTTGATGTATGCTGATCCTTCAAAAGTTGAAATCTATGTTGCAGCTTTTAAAATAGGCAAGTAGTTTGCTTATAGCAAAGTAGTTTGCTTAAACGTATTTACTGACAATTATTCTCTTAGGAATCTGAGAGAGAAAAAAACCATTATCAATAAGGAGAAAATAACTGCATTAATAAAATAGTAAAACTGTGGCTCTTGGGGTCCTGATATTTTTTTTTTTTAATTTATGTTGTCTATTCAGATGAGATAGAAGACAAAAAATACCACCTGGTATGTAGAAATTTTGTGTGAGTACTCATACACACATAATGAGGAAATGATACATATATCCAAACTGTGGATTTTGCTTGTATCTAATAATGATTTATGAAAAGCTTCCATATGAAATACATTCCATTGTTGTTTCTCTAATTTATATTAATTTAAAATAACCATCTCTTTTCTGTTTAGCTTCCAAGACTGGAAAATCATGTTCTCCTAAGAGAACTATATTTGGATTGCAACAGCATTTCTTCTGTGAGAATGCTTTCTTTGTATTGGTTGCCTCTATTGCAGATTCTTTTGCTGTCTCAAAATGGGTAAGCAAGAAACATTCTTCCACTGGATACAGAGGAATTTACTAACACAGCACTTATTTGAAAAGTGTAATTGTCAGTATGGTTACAATATCACTATCTTTTCCAGTTATTCTTTGAAAATGTGCAGTTGACAAGTAGTGAAATGGGCCACCTTTAGCTAAGAAAATTTGAAGCAGCATTGACTATGAACAGTAATTTTTTCTATTAGATGTTATATGAAAATAATTTTTGAGCATTGTGGCATTATTAAAACCATGGTGTTTCTTTTTTTTCCTTTTTTTAGCAATTATTTCTAGAGTATGTCTGTCAAACTTCATATTTCACAGCTAGCTTATTCAAAGCAGTCTTTGAAGGCTGTGTTCAGTGTAAAAACTAGAGGTAAAAAGCACAAATGAGAACATTGGTCTTTATTTTACATGCATATGTTAATGCTCTCCAAAGCAAGCATATTTCCTTTAATTTTTCACTCTTATGGTTCAGTCTGAAAAGTATAAAATAAAAAAGAATGATCAAGAAAGTGTGCAACTAGATCATGCACTCAATTACTCTGTAATTAGCTATCTGTTAATTTTCTAAGATAATCTGTATGTCTGTAAGGTTAGAATGATGAGATATTCAGGAGTCAAAATTTTTATTTCCCCACCCCCTTTTTCTCAATTTAAGTTCCACTAAAAAAATAAGCAACAATTATTATAATTTCAAATGTGAACTTCAGATTAGTATAAATTATTTTTCTGTACCGTGACCATTTAGCTCTGAACAAGGTTGATCTTAGCTAGCCAAAGAGAATATACTGTTACACACAATATACAGAATATACACTCTAAACTAATCACTTGACCCTCCTGTTAGTGAAGAGGAGTTGGATTTAGAGTGTGATTCATCTACCATTTTTAGCCATTTGCTTGGAGACTAATCATAGCCTACAAGTGTTGTTCAACTTCACTGACAGAGTCAAAACGAGCCACCCCTATGTAGGTGCCTGAGCCCTGTTATTATAAGGAGTGTCCTTCATGGAAAATTAGTATTATTTGAGTACATACATTTTTTTGATCATTTTCTTATAGTTTCTAGTGAAGTAGTATGCATGTAGACTCTTGATTGTAGATATAACACCTAGAAATATTTACAGAATCTAATCTTCAAGTTGCTAGGCTTTCAGGGTTTTTTATGTTCTTTTATTAATTCTTCTGGAGTTTGAAGACTGTGATTAACAAGAGCATTATTTGTTAAGTGTTAGATTCTGAATTGCATGTGTTGATTTAATTCATATTCTTAAATCACGTTGATTTAATTCATGTTCTTTTTTTTGTGTCCGGTTCAGCTTTTTGTGGAACACGCAGTGATGTGTTTCTCTCTTCTTGCAGTTTCCTTCTCTTCCCAGGGTTTGTTTTCTTTTTGATGTTAAGGTGTGACTATGCTGTGTGTGATAAGTCATTTGCAAAACTGCTTGAGGGCCTCATGTGCCTGCTAGGGAGAGAACAAACTTAGGAGCACAGTTGCAGGTGTAGGTTGAATGCAGCCTCTGGATCTAGGTTGTGCTGGACTGGCCATGCAGATGTACCTTATGTCACTTGCCTGCACCACGATCTTACAGTCTTTAATGTCCGTTGCAGTGCTTGTTCTGTTTTTCCAGTGGCCAAGCTGAGATGCTGGGTTTGGTCCACGGAGTTTCTTCTGCTGGACTGGGAGAAAGCACGTACATTTGCGTCGGCCAGCTGGATGTGCTGAAAATAAACACGCACCTCCTCCCCAAACAATTCCCTTTCTTGCCATAATGTATCTGTAGCTTATCTCCAATCGTTCTGACAAACAGGACAAGATAGCCTTAAGTGCATATTAAAAGCCTGAAAATTCCTGGCATTTCAGTAGCCTGCTCTGTTACACTCACTTTATGTACACTTATAAGCAGCTCCATATGTGTGTGCTATAGCATAAGTGACTCAATGTTCTATAGAAACGGTGAATGTAATGGAGTAAGCTGTTGAAAGAAAAGCTGTTTCTTTGCTTTTATCCTACAGCTAGTGCAATTTTGTGAATTTTTTTCAAGTGTGCACTGAGTGCCATTTCCTTTTTACTGATTGCAGGAAGCCCATATAATGGTAACGCTGTGAATCTGTATCCTTTCTAAAAGTACTAAGAGAAAATTCTTCTCTAATTTACAGCATCTTTTTATCCATGAGATGTTTTGCATGTATCATAAACCAGAAATTGCCAAAGATAAAACTCCAAAAATTAATTGTTTTAAACCTAGCAATGAAGAATTAGAACAGGTAGTGATTAGCTCCTTCAAATATAAAAATGGCAGCTATTTCAGCACTACCGCTTTTATAAGTGTTTTACTGTAGCTTTCACATACAAAGTGTAGACTTGGTCACTATGCAATTAGCCAGAGCCAGTGATGAATATCCTCTTGACTGCAAATATCCTTTTGGTTACTGCAAAATTCAGACTATGAAGATCTGTGCTCCATTTTATACTAGCTGGAGAATGCAACTCTTAAGTTAGTTTAAAAAAAGGTACATTTTCTTTTTTTATTCTGTTGTGGATAAAGATTCAGGTGTAGGAGACAAAAACCTAGCCCCTGGGACTAAAATTAATAGATAGTTAATACATGTTAAGAGTTCATGTGGTATTTGTATTTACATTTAATCCCACTGACTTATGTAACTTGTTAATGTCTTTTTCACTTAAAAGGTTTACAGTGAGACATATCTGCTGTTTAGATAGCCATTGCATTTTTTTTTCCTAATTCAAAATAGACAAATCTATGCCTCTTAAAATTTCTGTTTTAATATGGCAAATTTTTTTTGCTATCTCTTGTTTTTCATTAAGATAGCCCAAGTGTGATACCGTTTTAGTATTTTAAAAAAATGCAGTCATCTGCAAAAATTCCTTTTTTGGGGGAAATGCGTTTGGCCAGAGTCAAATTCTTTGTAAACATGTTGCTCTGATGTTTTTGCAACTAGATGCACACTATTTCTAAAAGGCTTATAATAGAAATGCTAAAAAATCAGCTCAGTTTTTTCTTAGTACACATTGTTCTACCTACTTAAATAGATACAGAGTATACATATTTTTAGCCTGATTTCTCAGATGTAAAAGTTGAATTCACTGTCATTTCAAGCCATCACATTTTGAGAATTTGACCACTTTTCTGGAGTTGTCACAATAAATCCAAATGCCATTGGATGTTGAAATAAGTCAGTCATGAAAAACCTAGGTATAGTGGTTTTCCTCATCCCATCCTTACCAGTCTAAATTTTTCTGATCACTTTTGGTAATTCTTTGCTTGTAGTAAGTTTATCTCTAAGTATGTGGCACCACAGGCAATACAGTTGAAGTACTGCCTACTAGAGTATACAGGAAACAAGTGGCTAATGGACAGATTTCCTACATTCTATTTCATTACTACTTATAAATATGCTGAACATTACAAACTAAAATATTTTTATTTTTAAAGACTGGAAAAAGGCTTTACTTAATGATCTAGATGAATATAATTTTTTTTATTATTATTTTGCCCTCTTTCCTGCTAACTTCTCATTAACATCAAGGATAATTTTTCCAGGGAAAAGCAGATGCACGGCAGGATTTGGAGCATCCTGAACAGTAACTGCTATTCATGTTCAGAAAAGCAATCTTTATTTTTTTGTGATGCATGCTAATCTCTTAAATCTTTTTTTCTGACACAGAGTTGCTGTGGCTATCAGTGTCCTGTCCTGCTACAGCCTTAAATGAGAGCAGAAAGAGGAAGCTATAGCTTGCTTTTTTGTGAATATCTTTTACTTTTGTGTCTTCTTTGTAATTTATATCTCTCTTATGCCCAGGGCTAATGTGACAAGGTCAAGTAGTATTAAGTTTTCAGTAATGTCCTTTGTCTTTCTGGTTTGAATTTTCTTAGGAAAAAAATTAACAAAGAATGTCAGTAAAGGGAAAGCTATAGAATGACGGGGAAATGTTTTAACTCTCATAATGCCAATGGCTTTAACTCTCATAATGCCAATGGCAGGCAAGGATAGTCCAGTAGGCAGTTTCTAACCTACCACAGCATCTACTGATGGAGATCCAGAGAATTCACTCACTACCAATAAAAACAATATTCCACTATCTTTGAAACTTTGTGCAAAGTACAATATTTGTTTTCCTAGATATTTGCAGATATCACAGAATGTCAGGGGTTAGAAGGGACCTCAAAAGATCATCTATATATGTGAATCTACAATCTGAATCATGGATTTTCAGGCTTTGTAGCCATACTGTTACCCACTAATATCTATGATGATATTTGTTACAAATACCAAATATATTTATGTACTATTGACTGGTCATGAGAACCTAAAATGCTGACATTTGTACTACTATAAACAGATCTACATATGAGGCTTAATGCTTTTTAGGCAATACTTCTTCATATTTATTTGATTACATGGAAAACTGTCAGGGAGTTAAAGAACTAAATAGGACTAGAATCAGGACAACTTTGCAATACATTTTGAGAAAGAAATGGAAGTATAGTGAGATACTCAATGGCTTTATATACATTTTTCTGAATTGACTATTCAAATGTCATATTGTCATGGAGAAATCCTTGTCAGCTGAATATAGAAACGTGGGGGGGTTTCTATTTTACATATGTTCAAATTTTCAGTAAGATTGAAGAATCTATAGCCAACAACATTTAGTCCAGAATTTTGTTAAATCGTTCTGTCATTCAGTTGTGATGCCTGTGCTGGAAAAACAATGTAGTCACACATTTCAGCAACAGATAAGCATTTTTGGCTCTGAGCTCTTGTAAGTTTGTGGGGTGAGTGGGTTTCAGTTTTTTGCATGGTCGTGTTTCTGGCCGTAAGAATTTCAATTTACAGCTGTTCAAAAGCACTGTAACACTCAGAAAACACAGCTTTTCATGAAAATTAGCAGTCAAGGTGGCCACACACATTGCCATTGGTGTTACCATTCTACCACTATGTTTAGACGTCCTTACAAGGATGAAACAAGTTACCTAAATGTGCCTTTTTAAAAAAATAAAGATATGGTGGATTTAATGTGTGCTTATACTTTAACATTCTAGTTTTAGTTTAAGACTGGTGGGTTTTTTTGCATCTTGATTTTTACCCTTCATATTTAACATGAAACAAAATTAAATTTTTAATCTGAAAGGTAGTATTTGAATGCTGACTGAACCATTCAGCATTCATTCTCAGTTGCACCAATGCGAGTTTGTAAGTAAAGAGATTTAAATAACACTGAACACTAATTTAATTTTAATCATGGTGATAATACACATCTTGCAGTCCAAAATCCTTTGTACAGATGAATGTCAGCTCTGTTTCCTTACATTTTCTCTTCATTACTAAAAATAAGAACTTTGTCATGACTCTGCTACTGCTTTGCTGCTTTATTGCACAAGAAAACTCTGACATGCTGGAAGAGAAATTCCAAAGCTCTCTGAATAATAGGCACCTCTCTGATACTGTCTTACAGAAGTAGTAAGACAGAGGATGCACTAAAAATGTATCACAGGATGGTGCAGCCTTAGCACGTTAAGAAATACAGCGGTGCAAACGATTGTTAGTTTTAGGATCTAGGAAGCAATGTGCTGAGTGGAAAAGAGAAACAAACTGATAAGAAGTTTGAGCAATGAGAAATGAAGGAAGAGGAAAGAGGAAAAAGAGATTTCTTCTCCAGAATCAGAGCCTTAAGTTAGTTTCATTCTAGTTATGGTTCCTAAAGAAAAGCCCATTGAGTTGTATAAATTTTACAAGACTTCAGTTCCTCAGCGCTAAATACAAGAAAGAAGATGAAATATTTACCAGATAAAACAAAACATTAATGAGTAAATATTAAAAGCTGAGCTACTGAGAAGCCTAAGAAATAGTTTCTAGTTAAGATTTCAGTAATTATTTCTAGCACCTTGGATAGCTAAATGAGTATTTTCTTATGTAAATATATAAATTGTCAGAACTGTGAAAAGATTCTGGTGCCTTTCTGCTTATGAACTGCTGGTTTATTTAATTGAAAAAAAACTCCTTTTCTGTTTTGTTCCTAGCTTAACTGAGCTTATGCCTTTAAATTCGTTTGTATCTTTGGAAAAGCTGGATATCAAAAATAACTGCTTGTCAGGTGAGTTGTGTAAAAAACATGAAACCCCATCCAAACATGAACTTCTTAATTAAATTATAAACTTATTTGAATTGGATTGTTTCCATTTATTTATATGAGACATTTATACAGAAAGCAGATACATATTTTCCAAACATGAATGTTACAGATATTAGTTATAACTATGCTGTTTATGTAGCAGAATTGCTTGTAGTAGTTCATGATTTTGGTATATTTTGCTTTCATGTAAGATTCTTATGAGAAATCAGATGGCTCTGCGTTCAAATTTTATATTAATTTTCTTTCCTACTACAAAACAGACTTTAAAGATGTCATTACCTGGTTTAGTGACTGTCATAAACTACGGAAGTTGTCACTCAGTGGAAATCCTATTCTCCAAGAAAGAAATTTCAGGTAAGAAAATAAATTCATTTGCTAAATTTAAAAAATCAAAATCAGCCCAAAACTTGGTGTGCATTTGCTAGTTAAATGCTAGAAATGAGGTATGTATGAACAGTACCAAAAAGTGGAAGAGAATTATATGAAAATAACATTCAATTCTGTGATCTTTATTTTCTAAGAATTTCAGTTTGTAATTTTGTTTAAACAAAAATCTTGGTGTTTGTCCTAGCACTTGGAACCTTGATGAGAAGCAGCTTGTGCTAAAACTCGACAACGATCTATGCTGTTTGTTATCCTAAATGAGTGTTTTTCGTTATGTCAGTTTATTTAGGCAACTGAAGAAACTTTAAAGATTATATAGGCCTTCTCTGTGCTATTTATTATTAACTGCATCTTTGCTCGTTGATCACTGTATCTTTTTTAGTTTGAATTCTGGTTGTTCCTCTTTACTGACAAGTTTGCCACCTTTGGTAGCTTTAACTTTCTGACCAAGCTTTTGTCTGACTTTCATTACCATATTTCTTAAAATTTTGCACAAAGACATGACCATTCACTCAACTTTTCTTTCATTCTCTTTCTTCGACACCGTTTAAAACCTTTGTTTTTTCTCTGATGATTGATGTTGTACTGCTTACTTGCCCTTCTCTTTTTATTCTCTTATTTACTCCTTTCCTTTCCATCACTTCATCCATTCACTGTTTAACAGTCTTGTTGCTGTGGCTGGTTCACTCTGTATGTAGATAAGGGATGGTGTCTACAACAAATGTATCAGGGAATCCTTGACATAGCATCTTTCAAAGAAAAAACTAGAAAAAGTCAGAATGAATGGGCTAGTTTTCCTTAGTAGTTGAAGCTTAAACTTTTTTCTTTGTTCTGAGAATTCCCTGTCTTTACATCAAAAACTTATAGCTCTCATGATTATGAGAGACATAGATGTAAAGATAATGATGTTCTTTGCCCTCTAGTGATGCATAATACTGAAATAATAATCTGAAAAAAAAATAAAGAGCTGGTCTTAATGACTGTTATATGTGTGTGTATGTATAAAAACTGCATAGGATAAAAATGAAACTTGACATATGAAATGAGGCAGTCACCAGAATCCCTAAAATGAGCAATTATGATAGGATTGTATGTGTAAGCCATATGAATAAAATGGTATATGGGTAGGGTATTTTTGATTTTTTTTTTATTTTAGTAGAAGTCTCCTGATTTCTTGAGGGTTCTGAAACCCTGTACATGGACCAGTGCCATCATGACTTAAAGTTTTCTCAGAGAATTGCTCCGCAAAAAGTACAGTAGTGCTGTTGATTTTGTTGGGGGCCAGTTAGTTCAGTGGTTTGAGCACGGTGCTGACAACAATGACAACACCAAGATCGCAGGATCGATTCCCGCTCGGTCCTCATGTGTTGCCTGGTCTAGTCGAGAGGTGGCGTCCCTGCCCATGACAGGAAGGTTGGACTAGATGATCTCTAAGGTCCCTTCCAGCCTAGGCCATTCTATGATTCTATGATGTGTTTGTTCATCTGCCTTAGAATTAATACTTTCTAGCCTACAGGCCTTCCAGAGAACAATGACAAGTTTGAAACACAATTTTAAAGTTTTAGGTGGTGTTCCGGAATACATGTGTTGAAATTTTAGAATGTCTTTTAGTGAACTCTTACTATAATCCTGTTACATGTGCAAAGAAGCATTTAATCAGTAAGAATTTAAATCATTACTGATTCAGCTACGGAAATCTACTATTTACCTAGGAAAGTGTTGACATAATAAAATATCTGAGGAAATGAAATGAGACACAACAGTTGGACTTTCATTTTGGATATAATTAAAACAAGTGGCTGAGGATTTTTTATTAGAGAAATATTTTTTTTTTAAGTTTAGCAATTTTGAAGAATGACCAAAATTGTTCCTTGTATAATTTTGAGTCAGTTAAAGGTGAGGCTTTACACTACTGTGTTACACAAGAATGTGTTTAGATTAATTGTGTTCACATTTGCTATATTAGATTGCCTGATATAACCACAGTAAGTTTGGGATATGTGTATTTTCAAGTATGTGTTCTATTAAGAGAAAAAACAAAAACAAAACCACCCTTGCATGTGTATGTTCTATTAGATTAGTATTCCACTGGGGAAAAACAAAACAAAACAAAACAAAACAAAACAAAACAAAACAACCAAAACTATTTGAAATTTTTAGTTGGAAGTGTTTGGGTAGTTTAAAAGATTGCTGTGCAAATACATTCTTCATTAATTTGTTTGGTTTTTAATGGACAGACTTAATTGTAGTCCCATGGTTCCTGCAGGTAATTTTGCAAGTAAAATTCAGTGACTGTGACAATATTTTAAATTCACATTTGCCTTCCTTTAATTCTCACAATTTTACAGAATTGTATTATTTTACTTTTAACCTGGAGGGGAAAAGCTTTCTGAATTCCATTTTAACTATAAGAACTGACACTTTAGATTGCTTGACCCAATAGAGCTTTTATGATTAGACAAGAGATTCATTTGTCTAAAGGATTTAAAGTATGGGATACTATAAAATATGGATTTGCTGAATGCAGCCTTGACCATAACTTCAGGCAATATGTTCCAGTGAACTTTACATAACCCCTTGATACCAACAAAGGAATTAGTTGTAAAATTTCCCAATCGGTTTTGTACTTTCATGTCCAGCCAGCGATAACACCAACAAAAGTGAAGTAGTAAGAAATTGCTTTTTAAAAATTAAACCCTGGGATCAGTCTGAGCACTCCTAGGGGAATGTGTTTCAATGCTGTAATGATTAATAGAGCCTCTTAAGTGACAGAATATTCACCAGGAAGTTTTCACTAAATGAAATATTGACTCAGCCCTTCACCAGGAGAAACCCAGCTGGAAAAACTAGTGTTGAGATCCCATAGCTCTAAGACACAATACTTGCAGCATCAATCAACTTTGATAGGGCACTTTTTTGATGTATCACTGTTCGACATCAGCTTTTGTCACTTTTCTTTATCTATTCAGGGACTGTCCATCTAAACCCATCATTTTATTCCAAATGTATTTCAGACACTGTTACTCTGACATTTGTGGGCAGCAGAGAAGGAAAGTTTTCTGTTTTTAAAAAAACACTAATATTCTGCTCTGTTGAGCTACATTTTGGAGTATTCTAACTCAGTCATAGAAGGTGCCTACCCACGAGTGTGTTGATTTTTCCTGTTATTGTTTAAGTAGGTAAAATTCTAGCTCTAGTGAATTGAGAATATTGCCATTGACCTCCTTAGGGTCCATATTTCAGCAGTGGCCTTTATACCAACAAAGTAATAAGAAATCTTGTGTGCTTTATTAAGAATAAAGTTTTAGTTCATATACTGACATACAAAGTGAGGACAAATATATGCAAATACTTAGAGAACTATCATCATGTTCTGTTTTGTTATATGGTCGTATCAATAAAATGGGAGTTTGAGCATTAGGATTTTTTCATAAAACTAATTACGACTTTTTCTTTTCTAAGGCCTTCTTTGTGTAAGGTCCTTCCTAGTTTACAGTTCCTTGATGATGAAATCCTAAACTGTCATATTTTACCCACAACTGAGAGAAGCAAAGTATCCGAAGGACAAACTTTTCTGGAACTTTGTCAAGTTCAAATTGAAGAAAATGTTCTACTGAAAAAAAAGGCTGCTGAACTGGAGTATGTATTTATTTGAATATAAATTATGTTCAGAAATATGTTTTCATGTATTGTTAGTGTAGTTCTTGGTGTCTTACGAATTTTACTTAGCTTTTTGCCTGGAAATGTATTATGTTGAGAAAGATACTAGAATCAATGACTTAAGTACAAAGAGCGTTTCAGACAGGTATTAGACTATGTGAGTCATGACTTTTGGTTTTTTAACTTTGAGAAAACAGGTGATTCAAAACCTTTGGTTAGTCGCAGCTGAATAAATTCACACATGCAGCATAATACTGTGGGATGCAGGAATAGTAGCTTACATCCTCAAAGTGATATAATCATATTAACATAATTTCCAGCTTTATTTTAATCAAACCTTATTTGACTGCTGGTGCAATATGCTCTATTGTTTTCCTACATTTATTTTCCATGTATGTGTTACCTTCTAAATGATTGTGAAATATTTGACCTCCTTTCTCTTAAAGTAGTGCATCAGATAGCTCTGTTACAGATCTTTGATTTTGTCATACTTTCTGACTTTATCATTATTATCATGGTTAGTTGTCTAGCTTAGACATTACAAGGCATAATTTATCATTAATAATACTTAATGAATACTTAATATCTTTGCTTTGCAGTATATAGATACCTCAAATTTCTCATGTTTTGCACTTGGTAATATTGCATATTGTCTTCTTTCTTAGTTCCTTTTCATTTCATAGCATGTTTACAGTATTCCTCTAATCCTTTTAATATACATCTTGTCTCATGATGTTTGGGAAGAGTTTCCTTAATCCTGCCAGGTACTGAATATTATCTCAGAGCAGGTGAAGCATGTGACATTTGAGATTGGTTTCGTTTTAGCTACTCTTTGTGTACTTTGTTGGTCCAGGCAAAGTACTCACTTTTTTTTTTTTCAGGATCACTTACATTTACATGTAAGCCTGTATATCTGTGGCATCTTGTTACTTACAGGTTATTTCATTGATGTATTATTGGCTGTTACTAAGCTGCAATAAAATCTTCATAGCTCACAAAACAGATTTATTTGAAAAGAGGTTCGTATTAAAAATTATATTCAAAGTAGTATGGAAGAAATTATACAGTGCCATTTTCTATGATAGATTTAATGTCTAGGTGGCTCCTACAATGCATAGTTTTCTTTATTAAACCCTAAAGATATGTCTTCTCCACTTCGGTGATTTTTGTCTTCTGGTTTGCAGGTGGGAAGCTGATACTTCCTAATGTATTTACTATTTTGAAATCGCATTCTTTCATTTCTTTTTTCTTACAAGGTAAAAAAGGAAGGGCAAAAAAACCCCTACTCCTCCATCTTTATGGTAGAATGAATTTTCTTATGGTTGAGATTTAGGACCTCTTTAATCAGTATCCTTTGCAGAAAAAAAAAATCTAATCTGTAATTAAGATAAAACTTGAGACTAATGCAGTAGAATCTAAACAGCTAACTTTGACGTACATTTCTGCAAGGTGGTTAAAAAGTGTGAGGGTAAGATGTTACTCATGAAATTTAACGGCTTGTTTAGCCGTGATCTGCATGATGGATAGCTAGACAGGTGAGAAATTTGTTGCATAGTCAAGCTCAGATCATTCATTAAGTATCAATAGTTAATGACTCATGCTGCTTTATGGAATCTGATCTGTCCTTCTGACATCAAGGACTGAGGGAGTGCACACTTACTGTGCTGGCAGACGACACATATTTGGAGGAAACTGTTTAGATGCTTGAAGGCAGGACTACTTTTCAGAAAGACCTAGGCAAACTGGGGAGACAGGCTACAGGAGCCTTGTGAATTCAACAAAGACAAGTGCAGAGTTCTTTACCTTGGAAGGAGTGACCCCTTGCAACAATACTGGCTGGGACTGGCTGACTGAGAAGTGTCTCTGCTGAAAAGAACTTTTGGAAGTGGGTAGATGAGAAACTCATCATGAACCAGCAGTGTGCCCTGGTACCAAAGAAAGTTAAAAGAACATCCTGTGATATATCTACAGGAACATAGCTATTAGGTTGAGAGAAGTTATCATTTCCCTCTCTTCAGCCATTATTAGCTCACATGTAGAAGACTGTGTCCTGTATTTTGGGTCACCAATACATAAAAGACACTGATAAACTGGAATGAGTTTGGTTTGTGGCCTCTAAGATGGCTGAGGGTTCAAGCACATGCTCAAAAAGGCAGAGCCAGGCTGTTTGCAGTGGTGCATGGCAGGAAGATGAACCACAAGGACCTAAGCTGAAATGAAAGGTTCAGACTAGTGTGGTGGATTGATTCCAGCCAGTAACTAAACACCCACCATCTGCTTGCTCGCTACCCCCAGCAGGATGAGAAAGAGAATCAGAAAACCAGAAGCAAGAAAAACCTGTAGCTTGAAATAAAGACAGTTTAATAAGTGAAAGAAAGAGGAGAAGAAGGGGGGGGAAAGAGAAAAAAAAGAAGCAACCAACCAAGTGATCCAAAGCAACCACTCACCACCTCCCACAAGCAGATGGATACCCAACCATTCTCTGAGCAATGGCTACCTGGGAAAGGCTTCATCCCAAGTTCTGTTGCTGAGAGTGGTGCTATATAGTGTGGAATATAGTTTTGGCCTCTTCAGGGCAGCTGTCTTGGCTGTGTCCCTTCGTAGCCTCCTGACTACTCCCAACTTACTTGCTGAATGGAACAGAGAGAGTCTTGAATCTGTTGAAGCACTACTCAGCAAAACATTAATGTTTTACCAATACAGTTTCAGTCACAAATCTAAACCACAGCACTATATGGGCAGCTGTAATGAGAATTAACTTCATCACAGCCAGACCCAGTAGAACAAGACATAAGGAAAAACCTTTTCGCTGTTGGGACAGTGATGAATTGCAGCACGTTGCTCAGAGAGGTTATGCAGTCTCTGTTCTTGAAGATTTTCAATACCTGACTGCATAAAACTCTGAGCAACCTTGTCTCATCTCAGAGCTAACTCAGCTTTGAAGCAGGAAGTTGGGTTTAAGATCTCGTGAGATTCCTTCAGCTGAGAATTTTTCTATGGTCCTGTGTAAGTTTTGCTTGAAAGGGCTTCCAGATGTTTGAGAAGAGCAATAGTGCGAAGAAGAAATTATGTAAACATCTCTTCTTTCCTGAATGTATGATTTGAGTGGGAGGGGTGAGGAGGGAGGGTTGTGGCTTTTCTAAAGTTTTGTGAATTCATTCATAATCTTTTAAATTGGTAATTTTGACATGGTTGAAACATCTTTTGTCAAATTTAGTTTTAAAATTAATTTCTTGTGTGTTAAAGCCCTCAGTGTTTGATTTCGACTAAAAGTGCAATTTATGGATGATTTGAAAACTGTTGAAAACTGCAGTTCATAAAAGGAACTCAAAACAAGTTGTTTGTGTATAAGCTTTAACAGCATAGCTCTTACATGCACAGACTGCAATACTTCAACTGAATTAATGTGACGTTGCTAAATAACAGGCCAACAAGAGAGCGAACTTCTGTCTGTTTCACATCTTGCTAAGTTATGAGCCCCTGTAGGTGCGACCTCAAGTATGTAAGCTGCCAAAAGTAATCACTGCTTGCTTCCCTAATCCATGTTTCATACACCGCTGCTGCCCAATTAAATTGTCTGTGCTGTTTCTGCCTGAAACTTCACTATTCTTGCCATGCTTAAGAAAGAAGCATGTTTTCAAATGAAATTTCTCTATTCTAATTAATGCTTTCTTTCACATAATCTTTAGGTGTCTTGTAGTGAATAATCATATAAAAAATTATATGGCACCTTGACTGCAGTAATTTGCTTTCAGGCATCAGATATGCAGAAGTCTGGGTAGTGGAACTTAAACTTTATAAATACTCTATGTATAATACAGTGAAAATGACAGGAATTTCTTAGATGATATTTTAGGACAGACTATGTAAACCGCTTTCATGTGTTTCTAAGGGACTTTTGTAACCTGCAGATGAACACCAGTAGTGATGCTTACAGACAAATGAAATTTTACCACTGTATTACAAACAAAAGCTTAATTAAAATTGGAGTGTACTATTTGAATATATTCCATGCGTTAGAATTACAGAAAATTGCAGTACAGCCACAAAGGGAAAAACACGACATTAAGTAAAATTTTAACTAGCACACAAACTAGCTCACAAAGGGCTAAAATATTATTTTTGATTTAGGTTCTAGGAGAAAACTGACATTGCTGAGTAAAATTGGTGTGTTTGTCCACTGTCCCTTTTGCCTCCAGATGTTTGATCTGCTGCCTTTTTCATATAATTTTTATTGTCTCATTCTGACAAAATTATGCTCTTTGAATAACCTGACAATCATTGCTGGTGCAATTGTAAAATCTGTATAAGATGTGTCATCTCTGTAAACCAGCTTCTGTTACCACCTTAAAGGTTCTAAATGGCAACATTCTGGCTGTTTTAAACTCCATTTAAAGGCTTTGAAAGATGAATAACTTGTCCTTTTCCATATCTGTTAAGTCAGGCTGTTCATGGGCCCTTACACTTCCTAGGTGGCGTCAGTGAGGTTTGCTCCTCCCCACCTCTGCTCTTCCCTCCCCAAACACTACATGTGAAACTGAGCAGGGTTCAGTCTAAATTTATCAGGAAGACAGTGATGGATATTCTTGGTGGATTGATGTTAGGACTGAAGTTGTAGCAGTCATTAGTAAATGCCTGAGTTGAATTTCCAAACAGATTAAAATCTGATTCTAATGCTTTTATCTTTCTTCAAAGCCCCTGGAAAATCCTTAGACAAGTTGGGAGGTATCTTTCTGGTAAGCAAGATACAGGTAGCTTTCTGCCTTTAGCATTTGCTTATGAAAGTAATAACTTGGTCTTTAGGTACAGTCAAGGCCACTGTTTTAGCACATTTGTACATGGCTATGAAAGGTCCATCCCTTCCTCTTCTGTATTATTATCCCTTTTTCCCACTGCAGAAGCAGTGCGTCCTTTGTGGCTATGCTAACATTTACATACGGCATAGATTACTTTCACTTGTTAAAATCAAAATAAAGCTATGGGTAGCCGTTGAACATGAGAGAATGTGCTGGTCAAAGCTGGAAGCCATAAAAGTTTTGCTGTAGCAAGACTGCCATATTCATCTGCATTTCATTAAATACAAAGCAGCCAGGCAGTATGGATACTGGTGCTTCCATCAGGATAATCCCATTTCTTGTTTTGTCTAGATGCCAATGTATGCTTAAAACCTTCGTTGTATCTTAACCAGGAATCAATTCCAGAAGAGTTAGTGTGACCAGACCCCTTGACCTATAATGCCAAAAAAGGTCTGAAAAGCAAACAACCGATTTACATTAACTGAAAAGGAAATATTGTGGTATCAAAAGTCTTAATACTGATATATTTCTTGCTTTGTCTTCTCTCTTTCCTTGCATGTATTTTTTTCCATTAAAGAAGTAAATCAGCCCCACATATTTTACCTTATAGCAGCTTCCTTTCTGCAGTTTGAATAACCAGTTTTCAGGAGCACATCTCTGGTATCAAGAATGCTGTCCTTTGGAGACACTGAAAAAGCTGCAGTGCATTGGTAGGATAGCTCTACCCCATGTTGAATAGTTCTTTTTTTTCTTCAGGGCTGCCTGAAATCCCTGTTCACCTCAGAGAACCATCAACCTGTTTGCCACCTAGCACTCAGGCCCCATCTTAATATTTGCTGAGCTTTGGAGCTTCATCTTTGCAGGAGAACCCAAATGCAGTTAGCAAGCCACTTTGTTGCTCGTAATTCTCTCCAGCGTCACTACAGCTTCCTTTGTAGTTTTTTGAAGCTGATCTGACTGCCTGAAAGGAAAGCCACTGATACACAGAGGGCTGACTAAAAATCCTACGAAATCAGAGTATCATTGTGAACTGCCAGAGAATGTGTCAGCTGGGAGTCAGGGTACATGCCCACAGCGACAGGACTGTGTTTTGCAACCGCTGCTTGGAAAAGCTACTCAAAAGTAGCTTCTGTGAAAAAAGGAACACATGATCCTCGGTGACCACACAGTTACTCCCTGCCTGAATTTTCAATTGCCTTCAGCCTCCCCTCCAATTTCTGCTTGCCACGTTCATAGTCACTGAGAAGGTGAAGCAGCTGCTTGCAATGCCCCCACAGAAGTATCCTGTTTTGTTCACTGTTGTGGTGTTTTGTTTTCCTTTGGTTCTGTTTTTTTGAGAATAAACAATTATATTCAGGATGTGCTTTCCATACAGAAGTTTATTTTGCCCAATACATAAAACATTCTGGGTTTTTCCACAATATTTTAATCCTAAATAAAATGAAAAAAACAACCAACCAAACAAAAAAATTAAAGTGAACAAAATGAACAAACAAACAAAAAATGTGAACAAACAAGCAAAAAAAAAGAAACAAACAAAATGAAAACAAATCAAAGGAGAAAAGAAATGGGAATGAATTTTGGTGTAGTTTTTCTTCTTCTCACAATAGTATTTTTGTAGAACTTTAGTAATGATCTTGTGCAAAATTTTTTTTCTTAAATGTTTTAACTAAAGTATATAAATCAAGTGTTTAAAGTAGCTAACTAAAGTATTAATATTCTTACTGTGTAGTAGGAGACAGCTAGAATTTGTTAGATCCTTAAGCAAATATATGCATTGGTTTAAATATTTATAGGAATTGTCAAATTTGTGGGATGAACAGAAGTACTGGAAACGTTTAATGGGCAATGAAATGTACAGCTAATGCACAGTGAACTATGTAATTAGGCGGTGTGGATTTGGCTTTCAATTTAGCCATTTATATTTTGCCCAATAGCACTGAAGTCACACTAGCAGAGGAGGAGTTAGAATCTTTTTACCTCTTGTAAGATCTGAATCTGTATGTTCTTAAAAATCTAGTCAGTTCTTGGCTGAACTTCACTAGACAAAATAGTTAAAGAGAGTCTTTTCATAATAAAACCTTTTAAAAGCTTCACCTTTCAAGAATGATGAACAGGAAGGAAAATTCTGTTATTCATACTATATCTTAGGACCTGATCTTTCCAGACTCCCAAGAGAAATGATCTTATTTCTACTTTTTCTCTTGGATTGCTGACCCAGAATTGACTTTGTACTCCTCTAAAAATAGTGTCAGATTAGAGATCTCTGCATCTATCTGTGCTGTCAAAACGAAAATGTTTTCATGATTTCAAAAGTACCTGCTACCTAATACAACAGACAAACACTGTCCAAATGCAGATAGCCTTCTGATCTGTAACAATTTGTTCATATTTGCTCTTACTCATTCTCATCATTTAGGTGGTGTAACACAAAGAACTAGAGTCACACTTCATAGATAACTGTTGGTTCAGTCTAGCACCTTCCCTTATATTGATAAAAATATCTAGACTTAAAAGGTTCCTTATTCCTAAATTCTCTCTAGGGATTGTGGTTTGCTGGGGTTTTGTTGCTGTAGTTCTAATCTAAATTTTAAAATTACTGTTATTTTTGTATTAACTTTCATAGTTTCCAAATAAAATTGGATTATTAAGGCTGTTACAGGATTTATAACAAAATTGCTTCAAATCCTGTAAAATTTTTGGTTTCATATGCCTCTAACCACACAGAAAATGAATAGTGAAATGCATACTCTAGTGCCTGAAACATTTTTTTTTAAAGAAAAAAAAAGAATAGTAAAATAAGCAATCTAACATGTATTTTTTAAACACTGCCGAAAAAAAATGCAATCAAGATTTATAAATACTGAAACTGGTTTTCAGTCAGAGTAATTACAATTCACTGTAAGAACATGGAAACATGCAAGGATACTTGAAAATACAAGGTAGTTTAGAAAATAATAGAGAGAATATATATTCTTAAAATTTAAATCAATGTAAAAACATTTATTTTTTTTTTCAGAATGTCTTCTTCTATTGATTTTGCACAGCGACAATGCTGGTATTTTAATCAGTTGATGAAACTTAGTATTAAACATCGATACGCACATGAGTCCGGTGAGCTAAATGCTACTGACAGAGATGGACCAGAAGCACTACAAAAGCGTTTAGAGGAAACATCCACTGACTGCGTACAGGAAAATAACCTTTTTGTCATGGGTGCAGCAGAAAATAAACAGGTCTCGTTGGATCCTTCCAAAAGTTGGATTACTGCTGGCCATATTCAGGCTGCCTGCATTAACTCCTCCATACCTGTGCACCAAATGGAAAACAAAGAATATCAGAGAGTGAAGCAGAAGAGTGCTGAATCTTGTATTCACTGCAGTGGGGAGACCGAAGGCAACAATACCACGTCAACCCAACTGACACTGCAACAGTCAGTGATAGAAGCAAATAATATGGGAGGAGATCTTCAGCATTTTGAGAATGACACAGAAAGGTAGGACAGATGTCAGACCGCTTTAAAATAGATTGTGCGGAAGGGCAGTAGGAGTGTTTATATGGATGGACAATATGAAGGAGGATTTCTTGTTTAAAACAGGGGCACAGAACATGTAGTAAGAAAATTATATTTTTCAGCTTATTAGACAATAAAGAGTTATTTTAAGGTGATGTACCTGACTTTCATGTTAACAATAGTTCTTTGTGGTACTCTATCTGTTGATATATTAGAATATAGACATGTATGTACTTAAAATAATTTTAAAATACTATATGGTAAGAGAATTTGGAAACTTTCTCTTGGTCTCCTACCTTTTACTACTTTTTTCTCAATACATTTATGACACCAATTCAACGACACCTAAAGTATTAGGGATGAAAATGCTCGGTGGTTCGCAGGAATTTTGGGGCAGTTTAAAATACAAACTGATGTAAGACTTTTTTTGCTGTACTCTTCACTGGACATTCAAGATTGATCTGTGCAGAATTTACAGTCAGTATCATTTAGAAGGCAAGAAGGAAAAGTTGCTTAAATCTACCACCCTCCTCCCTTGACCTTAGGCCAGTCTCCTGCTGTTGTGATGACTGAAGAACTCAGAGCCTGCCCTGCCCTTGGTACTCCTCCAACATGCCTCAACCTGCTTCTTAAAAGTAGAGGCAGGGGTGAGGGACCAGTTCAACTTGTTCTGTGCCCCCGAATATTCTCCCACATGAAACAGAATGGTTTATTACCTCATTGGAATGTATTTGCTGCTGGTTTGTATGGTTCTGGGTGTACAGTGAGGGAAAACAGAAGCTGAAATTTTTGTCCTAGAGGTACAAAAATTCAGTTGTGATTTCTTAGGAATTTAGTTTCAAAATTGTGTGTCTTGAGGACACTATGAAGAGCAGGCATTGAAAGTGTGCTTCTTCATGCAGTTTAGACTTATAGTTAATGAGCAGTAGTTTTTAGTAGGTACTTAAGACACTAGTAATTTGTCATGAAATTTATTACTCAGCAAGACAATAGAATTCATTATTGTCTTTCAGGAAGTTGACAATAAGAGTACAGTAGTCTATTATGGAAGATGAATGCTTCAGAAAAATCTTTTTGTAATAGTTCATTTAGAGTTTTTAGTTAATGTTTTAAATGCGTTCTGTAAGTCTATTATTGGGCAGTTCTCTTCAACACAGAATGCAGACCATTATAGGGTTTGCTTTTTAATTCAGCTACTGCTTTTTATAGATGCAAAGCTCGTAAATAAACCATTTTTTGGAGTTGGTAAACTTAATAAACACATTTCAGGGGAAAAAAATTATAGCTTAACCTCTGAGGTATGGTTTTTTGCAGAAAAGTACTCCTTTATTTAAATAGATGCACTACACAAGGAAAGAAAATATGTAAAGTTTGGGGAAAATTTAGATGTCTTTCCTTAAGTCCATGCAGTTTTCAGTATTTAGCTGACTGGTTTTTATTTATTTTTTTTTTTAGTATGGACATTGGAGATAAGTGAACACCTCCAATAGTTTATTCAGTCATTGTTAAACCACTTCTGGTCCTAATCTGTCCTTTGAGGAGACTCTTCCTCTCTGGTGAATATACAGAGAACAGGGTCCAGTGGAGATTACCCTCTTGCATAATTGGTTTTCAAAGTTTTGTGATGTGAATATTCTCCAATGTTTCTGAACCTATATGTTAAGTCTGGACTGTAATTTCTTAAGAGTTTAACGGCAGAACCTTCCATTTGTCCCAATGCATAGTGCTATGTTTTATGGTTATAGTTTGGCAGCTATGATAATCCAGTTGTACTGGTAAAACTATGTCATTTATAACAGCATTTATTTCTCTACAAGACTACATATGGCAGCATCGGTGATCCAGTCCCTTTGGCGGCAGTACCATGCCAGGAAAAAAAGCAAAACAGACAGTAGTTGGTCAATAGAAGCTTTAAGACAGAAACATGAAGCTGCCACACTAATCCAGGTTAGTTTATGATATTTTCTTTACTTATTTTGCAAACTTAATAAGAAAAAATCATACTATTTTTTTGTACTTGTTATCTTCTCTCCATTTTTATGATTTTATTAATAGTTGCATAATTAAACATTTTTTGTATTATTTAATCAGCACAGGTTTGACATTTGTAAAAGAGAACCTTCTTTACAAAAAGTTTTATGGAAGCGTAAAAATATTTTCCCTTTCTTCACTGAGTCTTTTCCCAAATTAGTTTTGCTTGATTTAATTCTAACATAAAGTTTAAGATGTATTGTGCCCATGTTCTTACTGGGGTATGTCTACGCTAATTAACTGACAGATGCTGCTTAACTGGTACATCATGTCTGATATCTATACAACTAGGTACTCTTCCCATTCTCTTCTGTCCTACCTATCCACCTCTTTCCTTCTCTCCCCATCTTCGAAAACTAGAATTGCCTAATCTATAACGTCACTGAGAACAGACCATGGCCTAGGCTGTCCGATGGTAGGTACTGCAGTAGCAGTTAAACAGAAAGGATTCCTGTGTGCAGGAAGCTAAGTTCATGCCTTGGCTCTGTTTAGTTTGCTAACCAGGTATAGTATTTACCTGCCAAGTTCACAGGGTTCATTTTTAAGCAAATGGACCCTGTATTGGTTTCAGATTTGAAGTTTGCTAAAAAGCATTCAATGTTTTAAGTCATCTATAAAAATGTCAACACAGGCAAAGTAAGTTAGGAGCCCAAATTCCATTTTCAGACTGAAAATCCAAGTAATTCATTCAACAAATGGGCAGCAGCGAAGTGTTTAGTAAATTTGCCCACTAAGAAAAGGGCAAATTACATAATCATATTACAGCAGTCAGTTACTTGTGAAGTTGAGCTAAAATTTGTTTCTGGAGTATAGTATGTAGCTAGTATATTAAAAATTGATTGTGATAAACATATTTAATCCGTTCTGGAACTTCATTATGTATTTGACCTCTACCATATAAAAAAGTGATGAATTCCACAAATTTGCATAATGATTAAAATGTGCTTCCTTTCATTTGTTTCAGGCCTGATAACTTCCAAAATTAGTACAAAAGTAGTCTTTCATTCTTCTGTGCATTTAATGGATTTTTAGAACTCTCATATCCATCCTTATATTCAGCCTTTGTAAATACAAGGTTAATCCATTTACTCCCTTTTCACATTACTCTGTATTTCTTTTTATCTTTTTATCCATCTCTAAACCTTTACATAAACCTTTACTTCATTCTAGTATAAAGAAGTGACTGGAACTGAATTTCATAGGCAGATATATCAGGAATTTGAAAAGCAAGACCATTTTTATCTTGTTTCTTAAAAACTACTAACATATATTTTTTCTTTTTGATCATGACTGAGCACTGACCTGGTGTTTTCATAGATCTGTGTTAACAGCTGCCTTACAGTTTATCCTTCTGCACATACCATTAGGATTTCTTTTCTACTTTGCATTTATAAAAACTAATCGTATTTGTTGAATGAAATATATTCATCATTTGATCACTCAGTAATATCAGGATGTTTTTTCTGTATGTTATGAATATCCGTAGGAAAATAACAATGTAATTACAAGAAAACAGTTGTAATATGTTTAAACATTTTTACAATAATCAGAAATCGTGTGTGTAAAGACAGTAATGTTTTCAATAATTTATGTAGCTGCATAATAATTTCCTACAAGTTAATAAACTACACGTTAAGACCAAATATGAGATTTACTCTTCCTTTTTTAGTGCATTCATAGCAAAGCCACTAAATGTGGACAACACTACCTGTTTCAGGACAGTGGAAATTTTTTGCATGGTGTTTTAAATGTTCAGGGCATCTTTTGAATTGTAATGATGTCAAACACTGATCTGGGGAAAAATTTCTGTCCTGAATTTAGTTTTCTTAATTCCTTCTGTGTAATTTTGATCTCTGAAGTGCTTTCCTGGATCAGATTCTGTAGCTTGGCATGTGTTCCTAACACCCTTTCTTTTCTTCAAGCACTTAATTCCTAATGTGCTCCTTTTTCTTAGATATGATTATGTCTCCTGGTAATATTTTTTTAAAGCAAAGATCTTAGACAGTTAAGAAAGAGTAACTGACCTAGGTCAATTGCATGAGATGTCTCCAAGAATTGCTACTTGTAAACTATAAGACATTTAGTACAAGTGTATTTTTATTCTCAGTAATTTGAAAGTTGACACTCAGTTTTTTCTAATGTAGCCTTTCCTTTCAGCTTATAATAGTCCCTGAAGGAATTGTCAAATAATTAATTAGTTGACCCAGGTTTGTAGTTGAGGGAGTTGCAGGATTCCTTTCTGCTTACTTGTGGAGAGCCTCTTGAGTACTCTAAGCTTTAGACATATGCTGGCATTTAATTTGTCTTGTAGTTTTAAATGTCACATAAAGTTCAAAAAACAGATCATTGAGCTATTAAACCAAGGCTGAAGATGTTTTATCTTCCTAATGGGATAACATGGAGAATCTGGATTTGGGTTTGATCTATGGCTTTGTATAACATGCTTTAAATTTTTTGTTTAGGCATTTTGGAAGGGCTTTCTTTTGCGAAAGAAACTCAACAGTGGTATTGCATCTGTTGTAAGTGATGAAGTGGAGGATGACTATGAAGAAATAAATGTGGATGAGTTCACATTTTCTGAAGTAAGCACAGTCATTAGCATAAAAAACTTAATGAGAAAAGCAAATATTGTTCTTTTTAAGCTATTGCATAGGTGTTGGAAATAAAAGAAATTGAAAGGATTACCAGGGCTAGAATTACATGTTGGATGTCCAGATATAAAGAAGCATTTGGGATATATAGGTTGTTTAAATGTATTGATCAAGGATTAATTGCTTCCTGCTTTTTGAGATACTCTGGTAGTTACTATGCTATTAATGTCACACCCACTGTAGAACTCCATATATTTCTGCAGTTAAACAACGATCAGATGAGAATAAGGAAACAGCTACTTTTGTTCATCTTTTTGTTCAGTCTTTGGTCATCCTTCTTTTGCCACAGCTCTCCCCTTAGGAAACAGTTAGACTTAGTAGGAAATTATTACCAATGACTTGATGACTTGGAGTAATTTATTTTTCTTCTTATCCCTTTCAGCAGCTATTTTAAGATATGTTTTCTGAATTACTTTCTTGCTGTAAGAGCATGCAGAATGTTTGAGGCAGGAGTCCCAGGAATCATTTGGTAGACAGGAAATGTGTGTGTGTAAACATAGAGCTCTGGCTTAAATTTTAGGATTTTTTTTCATTTTAATTTGAAATATATATACAAAAAAGAACAGTCTCATTAGTTGATGTTCTCTGATCCCTGGCTTTTTTCTAAAATAATAAAAAGCAGAAAGTTGAAGCATTTATTTCTTCACACAGGAAGGAAGTATCTGTTCATATAATAAAGTAGGAAAATAGCCTGTTTTGAATTATTCAGCCAGTAGGCCAGAGTCTTATATACTGTAATTCAATTGAGCCATTCTTTCACTCTGTTTGGCCCAAAGAGTCCTGTGATTTTTTTTAATTTTTTTTTTAATTGCTAAAGTGAAAACTGCATGGACAGTTTTGTTCCGTCTGCCTGTCAGCAAGGCAATCCGCATTTGGGCAGGTGCTTGTGAGGCCAGGGAAAAGAAGGAGTGGGGAAAGCAGGAAAAAAAGGCTTGCACTGTATCACCCTCTGGTGTTGCCACATATTTTGCCTTTCTTCTTTTTTTTTTTTTTTTTCCAAATTGTTACAGAGTTTAATAAGAAAGAAATAGAACACGAGTTTAGGGAGTAATTCTCAGAGAAAGCATTTAGGTTCAGATCATGACAGGAGAACCATGAGCTAACATTTCAGTTTGCCCAGCAGGCTCAAAGGCTGAACTGGGGACTGATGTCAAGTAAGCTACTCAAGGCCTTAGCTTCTTGTAATGAAAAATATAAAAACATCTGTTTTCTACAGAACAATGTATCTGATAAATTTGCAGTGTATATGCCTATGAAGGATATACTTTGTCCAGTGAGAGAGCATTTCAGTATTCAAGACTGGTGGCTGTAACTAGAATTATACCCTGCAATATTTGTCATGTTTTTTCTTCCTTTTTTTTTTTCCCCAAGCATGTATCTTGTCTGTGCTGAAGAGTTTAACTGTGAGAAATTGGTGACTTATCTATAATGGGCCTACACTCTGCTCTGCCTAGCCCAGACTAGCCACCCTTAGTACTAGATGACCTGGTTCCACGTGTCTTCGGCTGTTTTGTTCTCTGCAGTTGGGTTATACCAAATCACATGGATTTTCTAACCCTGCAGAACTGAGTAGAGAAACTTGGAACAGTCTATACTTCCTATTCCCTTCTTTTGGCCTCACTGTTTCATAGCAAAGTGCTGAAGCAGAGCCAAATAATGACACATGATATCAGTGGCTATCTGTTGGCCCTCAAACAAGTGTGTAAGGAGGAGTACATATCGCTGGGCTAAGAGAATCCATATGCTAGGGTGTGAAGAAAAAGAGAAATATCTGGACACCATTTTGTACTGCAGATTTCACAGATAGGGTGACTGAAATGAGAGGGAAGGCAGAAAAACCTTTCATTACTGTAAACCAATACAAGTGTTTTGGAATAGTCCTCTATTTTGTGGTATAGTAATTGTTTATTTGGGGTTTTTTTTGTTATACCGGTATTATGTAGATTTCAGTCTTAATGATTTCTTTCTGTAATATCTATCATTTTACAAAATCACTCGTGTGCAAGCAGCTATTTAAACTGTTTGCAAATATCACAACACAATAAGTCACCAGTGTTTACTAAATTGCTGTTTAATATCCTCATTATATACTGGGTATACCTAGTGCTCTGTGGAAGGTGAAGCTGCAAAACAGAATGGAAAAAATCGAGTCTTTGTCAAAGACCTTCTGTTTACTTCATTTATGCACACTGAGCAGTGGTATATTTTTAGTACAGGTTTAACACCGTATCATGTGTGAAATGGATTGCATGTGATTGACCTGGAGAAGAATGGCCATTATCTTGCTCACAATAGAATGAATAGTAATCATTTCACCTGAACAATTACTGATACCTTCTTGTATTCATATCAGCTCCTGTAAGTTGCCAAAGATATTCAGAGGCGATTGATGGCAGTAGTGTTTTGTGTCTGTTGTATTGTGCAGTGTCAGACAGGCTATCCCAGATGAGATGAAAGATCTGGACAACAGATGTCTCTGAAAGTATGAGCCTGGTATTTAGTGATATTTTCATGTCTTTCATGTGGACTTTGGAGAATTTCAGCCTATATGCTCCAGAAGGCTGATCTTAAGGCAACCTTTCAACAGCAGTCCATCCATGTAGCAAATGATCTACAAGGCAGAACTCACTTTACCTTTGGTGGACAAAATCTGACAACAGATTTGCTTGACACAGGTCTTATTTTCTGTACCACATAACCATCATCGTTGTTGTTTTCTTGATGAGAATATGATGTGAGCCAAATGCAAAATGGCTGCTGAACTTGCCAGTGTGTCAGAAAGCTGAACCAACTAAATATGATCAGCTTTAAGACCTTTTCTTACTCAGAAAGTGGCCATAGAATAAATTCTTATTTTCCTATGCTGAGTTGGCATATGTCTTTTTCTCATGAAGGAAGTACCTATATTTATGGTTACATGGCACAGAAAGTAGGCACTGTATTTTTCAAAACTTCATATTTTAAAATTTAGTTTATATCAGGGCTATCTAGTCATACCTCTTCAAAAAGAAAGTAATTCTGTAAGATGCAACCAAGCTAAAAAGAAATCTATCACTGCTTCCTTCATCAAAGGGAATAAATCTGTTGCCCTGAGACAGTGTTGTTCTGCTTCTGAGCTTGGTTATGACAGCTTTTGAAATTATTGACCAGGTGTTACCTTCACATTTTTTTACATAGCTGCCCTTAGACACCTAGCCATTCTTAACTTTTTGCTCGCCTTTTTTTTCTTCTTTGATGGGAGTGTTGAAGGTGAGGGAGGGAGGAGAAGAATAGGAACTACTCAGATATGCTAACTCCTGAAAAGTAAACAGCAATTAGAACAACTCCTTTACATCTCCCATCTTTAGTATTCTTATCACATATCCAAACTAGATACTTACAATGTATTTTGTTTTCTTTTCAGATAATCCTTCATGATGTGGTTTGTCTCAGGCTGTGAATGTGTGATTATGGGCTTGTGACAGTGATTGCTATTCCCCAGCTAGTGCCAGCAGATAAATGTAGCCTATGGATTAGAAGGTCCCCATAACATCTGTTGTATCCTGACACTCTTACCATGTCTAGCTCTTGTAAATTGCTTATAAATATCAGATCAGAATCCAGCCTTTCCGTATTGTATTCTGCAAAGAATATGATCCTTTTTCATCAAATTTCTTATAAAGTTACATTGTTGTAGAAAGGCAAAAAAAGTAGATGATGACAATTTCATTAGATCCATCCACTTCTTTTAAAAAGAAGGGGGAGAACTCTCTTCTAAGTAACATATTGGAAGATCAGTCTTTTCAATGAGTGTAATCAACAATCATATCCATATGATTCTACTTCTTCAACTGCTAGGTTAATGAATCCCGTGCCATTCTCAGTCTGTGGCATCATCAGATGTGTAAAGCTTCTTTTCTAGTCCTTTCAGCAATTTTGTTTATCTAAAATGCTGAAATCTTGTTTTTCTGGTTTTCTGATAGCTCTCCTGGCCTTGGAAGTGGGTTGTAGCAGTCAGTCTCTGATAAAACAAACTCAAACATGGTTGTTAAGGAGTTGTGGCCATTGTTAACACTCAACTTCACAGCTCATGCAGAGTGTGCTCTGATTTGCTTTCTGACCTTCCATCATAAGATCTCAGTTCTGAATGCCACATGAAATGCTTTTAATTTTTAAACAGAAACTATCTTCATGCTCGTCTCTATCGGATTCTTTGTTAAATAGCGAGATTCAAACAAATACTTCCCAAAGAAAAGCTGTGTAATGATGTGTGACACTAAAGACATCCTTTGGAACTTGTATTTAGCAAAATGGTATATGATTATTCTAAATTATATTTAGCTTGTATGGCATATCAAAGTATAGTGATGTCATTGATTATGCTTCCTAGTCTTTTTTCTCAAACATCAAAATTGAATAAACAGGCCAGGCAGTGGAAAAATGTATAACAGTGAAAAAAGTCTTAGTTCTGTGGAGTTTTAAATTCATTATTGCAGCCTCAAAGGAAAATCTTTGTAAGCCAAATGCATTATTGTAAATGGAACTAATAACAGAGCCATCAGTTCTTCTTGGTGAGTACAGTTGCATCTGGAGTCTTTTGAAAGATGAGCTAAGGATCCTAGATCATTGAATATAACTTTCCTAATTTTTTTATTTTTTTAAATGTTAAAACTCACATTTTTAATGTTAAAACTCACATGTTAGTATAGGTAGAGATTGTGTTTAAATGGTCTAGTTAAATGTCTGCTGTTTAGCATGTCTACATACATAGATTTTCATTGAAAATGTTTTTTTTTAAATAGTGCATGTTTACAAATTTCAGGAGCTCTCCTGACTTCTCTGTGCTCTGTGGGAAGAAGCCATTGATGCAGCTAATATTCTAATAGAGTTGAATAGCAGTACTTTTGGAGGAACCAAGGAAGAGAGTTAGATGTCTGCTTACTTTCTCCTTC